GGCATGTAGGTCTCAGCCTGTATGCTGTACCTTTCCATAGGAGCCCTGCCCCAGCACTTTGAGCAGCTGGAACTGAGAAGGGTCTGCTTTCTCACAGCCCTCCTTAACATGGTGGCTGATGTCAATCTCTTTCAGTATGCTGTCATCCTGTAGGGAAAAGACAATGGATGTTATATTTCAATTCATTAAGACAGAAGGGCCACAACAACAAGATAGAACAGAGAAAAAATTCAGACATGGAAAAAACTCCAGGCTTAAACAAGGTGATGGAGAAATTAAATAAAATGTGCATCTAAACACATTGGTTTCCACTGTCAATCAAAGAGTTATGCAGATTAAACAAAGACAATAATAAAGTAGCCTGTTATGTCACACACTCACACACACACACACACACACACACACATTATGTTATTTCTGTAGGTGTGCTCTGAGGTCAGTGGCAGCGATGCATATGTGAACGCTTCCTTTCTTCAGTCCATTCAGTTCGCTCGGTGAGGCGAATGATCGACTGCCAACCTGCGGCATCGCTCAGACTGGTCAGTGTGACGATCTACTGTAACTGTCTTTTCAACGATAAGAGCTTTGCTCCCACTTTCAATCGAGTATGAAATACTTACGGGAGTTCGTAATCACTGACAGACAGTCATTTAAATTAGATTTTGTTCTAATAGCTTCCATGAGCTTGAATGCAATCTCTCACTTCAACAGCATTGTTATGAGATTTTTGTGGTTCTTCCTCCCATGAGGTTTTTCCCCAGAGAGGAGGCACTTAGTTAAAACTTCCACATGTGCAGTGTGGCATGGTTGTGAAATAGTAAACAATTGCACTACATTAGGGTTAATGCATTTGTCGTATGTGATACATCTGGTTTCATTTGTTTGTTGAGCTGCTCATGGGAACATAGTTATTTTTCCTGTGAGCAGTGAATCAGTGTTTCCTGTTGTTCTTCATGTTCCTAAGATACATCATGATTTTAAAAAGCAGGTGTACAGAAACCTCTTCTGATCATAGAATGAGATCTATTCCTCCTTTGTGAGTCATTTCTAAGACTGAGTGTCAGTCTTCAGTGTGAAATCCAAAATAAGTTTGAAGTTCTTTTCTTCTATTTCTGTCATCAGCGTTGACACTGTGTTAATAGCACAGCTCATTTGTTTTCCTGTTTACCCTCAACAAAAACATGCAACAAAGCAAAGTATGGTTCTCTCACTTATTTTGTTTACAAGAACAAACTCTGCCAGCAGGGGAGACTTTTATTTAACTGTTTACAAAAGTTTCTGTATGAATTAGTTTGAATTTCTCAAAAGAAATAACGAGTTTGTAGATTCTCTGATGGCAATTTCTTAGTTCATGCAAAAGGGAGGAACAAAGCTGAAGGAATATCAATATGCTGACTTGACGGTAACTGCAGATCCACACCCTAGATTGCAACATCGGGGATGCCAAAGAATTTTCTGTTATCATTTTTAAACTTGGCTTCAACTCACTTTTCACATCAGTGTTTCACTACACTTCTAGTTTGAGGCTTGATTATGTGGACCTGCATCAGTTCGTAGTGTTTACATGATTTAAATAAGGTAACACACAACGTTTAAAGTTTATTATTGAGAAGAGTTAAAATGAGAGGAACACGTTCTAAAAACTGAGCATGTCAAGTTGGGTTTGAACTTTCCAACACAATGTTTACCAGCCCTGACAGTATGGCTGTGATCATGGAAGAGGAGAGCGGGTCGTCCACTAACCAGACGAGGGGTAATGGGCAAGACACTGAACCCCAAATTGACGCTGTGCCAGCAAGTTCTAGTAAGCTCTTTCTACCTTGCTTTTATTTTAATTTAACTATTGCACTGCTGAGCTGACCGGTTTCTTCTTGTCCAACACCTTTCGTTGTACTGTTGACCCTGTGTTAACTGGCATATGACAAATTCCACTTGAAACTTGAACTACTGTGTGAAGGGAAACACTGTGAAGGGCCTGACCTGGTTAACAAGATGAGAAAAGCTCTATGTAGATACCATTTGCCATTAACATCTATTGTAGAAATACCACAGAGGTATATTGAGCAACATGACAGATGTTTATTTGTGAACGCCACAACTGTGCAAGATGTCATAGATCTTACAAGTGTGCAGATGTGCTGAGTATATAATGAACTGAGTATATAATGTACTGAGTATATAACAACTTCCGAGGACTCTTGGGTGTGATGGCTGGTGTGATCCCATCAGGTTGGAGTTACTAGTCGATGTAGCTCTTTGAATTGAGCACTGCAGTATATGATAGTGTGCTGAAATTTCTCAGCAGCATTGCTAAGTGGCATGAGGTGTGAGATTCAGCCCACAGACAGTGGAGTAGACATCTGCTTTCAAAGATTAATCCCCCACTTTATTCTTTAAACATGGCAGCAGGAGTGACATCCATCAACCTGAAAGAAACAGGTTCAAGGCCTCGATTACAGCTCCGTCAACATCAGGGAGGCTGATATGAAGCTGACCCTGAACTCTCCCCGTGAAAAGAGAGCATCCATGCACAGAGCATCAAAACATCTCCTCACAGACGGAGACGGAGAGTCGACCAAACAGATAAACAAACGTAAGCAGACAGACATTTGCTGGTGAGGAAAACAAGCACCCACTCACTCACACACACAGGTAGATAGCCTGTCAAGCTGAATCATCGTCAGCAGCACTTGGTCACAACAGAGAAGAGAGGAGGGGAGTTTCTTTTCTATTTATATCCCAGACATACAAGGTGGATGTGCTGCAAACACAGACTGCACATCTCTGTCCTCCTCTCCTCACCGTTTGTTTGGGCTATAAATAGACCCCCACTGCTGCCATGCACTGAATCAATCTGTCTGAATCCACTCATCTGTCAACCTGCCTGCCTCACTGCTTGTTAGTGTTTCTGTCTGACTGCATTTCCATAACCCCCCTCTCCCCCCCTCTCCCTGTATGAAAACACAGTGTCTCTCTGCCTCCTCTGTTTTCTGTATTCCTGACAGACACGCAGAGCAACAGCTGTAATGACGCTGCAGTGACTCCAGGTCCTCAACAATCTAAACTACGCGCACCCACTCCCATGTGCGCACAGTCTCCCCTCACACCCTCACACCCATTAAGAGACTGCTGCTGTCTTCCCATGACTTCACAGCTACATTCTCATGCATGGTGCAGCCGTGCATGTGACCCTCCCTCCCTGCGTGAACTCGCTTACCTCCAGCTGACAGAAGCCGGTGTTGTTCTTGCTCCTCGCCGCCTTGTTCTTCAGGTAGATGGAGAACCATCTCCGCACTGTGAATTTTCGCGTGCTGGTATCCATGGCAACGGGCAGAACTTCTTTTTGTTTGTTTGCATCTATCCCATAGTGATGAACATGTCCCTGCAGCAGGGATGGAAGGAGCTGTAGGTTTCTGTTTTATCAGAGATGCAGAAAGAAAGAGCTCTTGCTGTTTCTCTATCTATTTGTCCCGCAGCTCCTCAATTGGCGCATCCTCAGTGCAGTCGTCGCTTTTCGGCTCTCCCATCACTCCCGGTGCGTCTCCAGCTCCTCCAGCTCCTCCGTCTGTGTGAGCCGCAGTCAGGGTTGCACCAGAGCCGTTAATCCACTCAGACAGACGGGTGGTGGTGGTGGGATGAGGAGGGCCGGGGCAGGTGCGGGCTGCGGGGTTTGTGTGGGGATTGCCTGGTGTTTTGCAGCAGGCGCGCGCCTCGTGAGTCTGCTGCAGGGAGAGGTGACGAATAAATCTGTTCCGCTGAATCAGGAGGTGTGTGTGTGTGTGCGTGCATGAGCACACTCTTCACATCCCTGCCCCTGTGTGTGTGTGTGTGTGTGTGTTCCCTGCTGCCTCCTCGCTCTCTCTCCCTCCCTCTGCAGAACAAGGGATTGTCACCAGTCACATTGTGCACAGGCGAGATCCAGAACCCCTCCCTCGCACCCCCCTCCCCCCGTTCCTGCCCCTCACCTCTCTCTCTCTCTCACTAGCATACAGCAACAGCTGGCGAGGTCACATGGTGCGACTACCTCTCCCTGTCTGCCTCTGTCCCTTCTCCTTTTTTGCTCCTGCGTGACATCCAATGACAACAACACGCACACACACGCTGGATAAAAAGGACAGACAGGCATGAAATCATAGATGACAAACACTGTGGCTCAGCTCCAGTGACATTACATAAGAGTCCAATGGAATATTGAGGACAGCAATCAATGCTACACATCAATAATGGTGGCAGAAGCTGCAGGACAGCAGCCACTGATCACTGGGTGTGTGTAGGTACTTGGATCTGTCACATCAGCAGCTTTGCAGAGCTGCAGTGTTACATAATCATAGAGCCAGAGAGAGGGGGGGGGGAGTGAAGGTAGAGCCCAAGTGAAGCGGAAGAGATGGGGGTTTATTGGATGAAATCAGGTTAAATCAGGACTGCAGGGTCAAGCATCCGCAGTTGACCTGAGCTTGACATATTTTTCCTTTTTTGCTAAATTATGGTTTCAAATTGCTCAATTGCTTTAACCGTGATCCTCAAAGTTGGAACTAAACCCAGAGCTCACACTGGTGCTTTCCTGTGTTTGACAGGATTTGGACAACATTAAGAATATAGCTGGCACATAGTTTCAGGGCATTTTCGCACTGTAATAATCAGATGTGTTTAGTCAATCTGCTGGAGCTGCGTTGTGGGAGGAGATTCAGGATTATGGGCTGGTGTCTTTGTCCCTGTGGGATTAAGGCTCTGTAAGGGGATCACAACATTAATATTCATATACACATAGATGTAGTAATAGTAGATGTGAACAGAAAGACAGACTAAGATAATACTGTACAATTTACGTAAACAGACATAGGTGAGACATGATAGCCGTCATATGGCAGATGGTCCCTCTATATTTAATTTACCAAGCTCTATTTATAATTTTCAATTTTCAATCACATAAATGCAAATAGATCCACTTTATAAATAACGCATATTACATAATCTCTGACTGATGAATACAGGGCAGCTTGTCTTGATACCAAATGCTTTATTGACATAAAAAATGCACAAATATGAATTTGATAAATTTCACACAACATAATTTGTCCCCAACAGTTATAATCGTATTTCAACCTAAATTAATCAATTCATCTTTGCACAAAAAAGAGACCAATATAAACAGCACCAACAGAGAAAAGTCAAAGTAAAAATCTGTGCGTGTCTAAACATTGTTTATAAAAACAGTTGCTACATCCTTGAGAAAACAGGTTTTATTTGTCCATGTATCAAACATGGTGCATAATGAATTTGTGCAATATCTATTGTGATGTGTTGTATTTGAGATGTGTCCTAAAAAAAATAGGCATTTATTCTACACCCCCATATATACGATTAATACTTTCTATTGTTTTCAATCATGTTACTGTGTCCTCCATGTTATCAGTCCTCCAGTAGCACAGACATAACCAGGCCTACAGCACGACTTCGAATAATGGCTTATGTACTTGGCAAACATTAGAGGACAGCTACCTCTCATAGTTAAGCAGCAGTGTGGGTATTGAAATGAACCTATCCCCAAAAGCAATGAAAAATCTGAAAAAATACAAGCCCATATTAATTGTGTTGAGATGCGGCGATAGATAACACAATCTATTTTGATGCAATGGTTGATTTTAATCATCATAGTGCTAAGGATTTTTTAATAATTAAAATTCATTCAACCCAGGAATATGGTGAATGACAATTGAAAGATGGCACATAAGCAAACAAAGGTATGCACTGTGCTTTGTCTACACACTCATTACACAGACAAATCTGCACATAAGAAAAACACCCAGGCTGCACTCATTTGCCAACACCACAAGAGATAGAGCACTTACTCTGCCAGTCTGCTCACCTGCCTCGACCTAGACTTAATACTCTCTCCTGCTGTGTCCTGAAAAACACCTTAGACATTTTAGGACTCATCTACTACTAAGGGTCAGGAAGGGACATAATTCCATTAAGGCACTACGTCGTAGTGGAGTGTTGTCTGTGTGTCCTAGTTCGAGATGGATTAAAAAAAGAATAATGCATTAAATGTGGTAAAGGTGCGACGATGCAATGAATGTGATTTTTTCCCCAAGTACTTGTTTCAGACAGCATTTCTGTGAAGTTAAAAGATGTTTTCAGTTTACACTAATTGTCTAAGGCTACTTAAGACATGAAAGGTCAATAAACCAATGATGTTCATTGTAAAGTCTGAGGAAAATAAAGTTATGGTTAGCATGTGCATGCATCTTAATTTTACTGTACAAATGACTGGTAAACGAAAGAATGCATTTGTTTCAATGAGTGTAGTCAGTTGCTGTGTTTCAGTTTGCACATTGTCTGCGTCTTATGAAAGAGGTGGGTAGTAAACTGGTATATTATGGTCGCACACATGGAACTCGGATGCCTTGTCAACAGCCAGGTGATTGTCCCAGTATCCGTGTTTTTCACAGTCCAGGAGGGTGAAGTCAGGATTGAAACAGATCTCAATCTGCCCCAAAATCTGGGCATCGGCATTCTGTTTAAAACAAAAAGACAACATTTAACTATCCATCAGACTGCCAGACAACAATTGACCCATGTAAATGATATTAGGTCATTGTACCTTTGATGGGGGGATGCACTGGATCTTAGGTTTAACGCCGTAGAAGTTTTCTATGACTCCTTCAATTTGTGAAAACTACAAATAGACACATTAGTAACAGAGGGAAGAGGGAAATGAGAAACTGTAGCTTTCATATTATTATTATGAGGCACTTAAATGCAACAAATTAACCATGATGTAACATATATATGAGGTTTTATTAGACTTTAATTTGATGTTTAAAATATAAATTGACCTACTGCGTAGTATTTTTCGGAAGGAGTGATGTTAAACTTCCTCAGGATGCTACAATAACAGAAATACAGATTTGAGATGCTGGTAAATATGTGCAGGAACATGAAGACAATACTGATAACTAGAACATGTGACGATGGTTGGTGGTGTGTATGCGCACATGAAGATGATCCGTACCCATTCAAATCCAATTTGTGGTATAGCTCCAGAGCCTTGCTGAAGTATTTATGTTGACTGCTCAGAGACTCTGCTTTTGCTGCACATGTACCGTGTTTGCGCCACTCTTGATTCCTGTTGAAACAGACGGACAAACAAGTGGCAATGATTTTTACTAATATGATAAACACATTTCAGACAGGAAAACTAAAGAAATGTGAGATAACTCTGATGTGGTAGTAGTACACTACCATTGTATATTAAACTAGAACACACCCAACTAAAAGTGTAATGAATGGAGAGACTGTAACATAGAAGGATTAACTCAAACATTACCAGAAGAAAGTAGTTAAGGGTTTAAGCAAGTTAGGCCAACTTTTCTCCATGTCAGGAAGCAGGTCCTTAAAACACAAACAAAACAACAGATTTGTTTTATCCATCAATGGATGTATTTTATCTTCTACATCCAGTTTATTCCAGAATATACATCTTGCTTTTGTGTGCTTTAGATTGACAGAACTTTTACTTTTGTTATTGTTAGCTTTATACTTCTTCTCTCTGTCCAATAGCTCCATCTTGATGTAAAAAGGTTTGTTTATGTTCCTACTCCAAATTCAAAACGATTACAGATCTACAGTGGATAAAATACATGATTAATTACAAATACAAACTGTGTGACGAATGTTATACCTCTATTAGAGAAGAGTTGAACTGCCATGATGAGTTGCAAAAAGTCCCTTTATCTGGCCTGTAAAACAGATTCAGAGTATATCACTGTAAACAATGAAAGCAGCAATAATTAATTCAAAAGACAGTTCTGCTACGTTTAACATTTCAGTAACATTAACTCCATGCACTTGATCCATGCACTTTCCTAAAAAGTCTAGTCACGAATGGCATACACAGCATATATCCCTCTAGCAGTTTTTCAAAGTTAATGGATTTTGTTCTAATATTAGATATTTTTTAACATGTTTATTTTTTACAAAAGTTTTCCAATAGTTAATTTAGTCATAACCACTTCTTCAAGGTAATAACACCAAGCAGGTAGTTGCGCAGTTAACACAGACTTGTCTCACTCCGACATGTTTCTGGTCTCCTGATTCCATATTTGGCTCAGAGGAGAGCTTTCAGTCCCACTCTCACACTTTACAACCCAAGGTGACTGCTCTTTCTCTTTTGCTGCCCCAAGTCCCACAATACGTTTGGCCCTCATACTAATTTTAAACGTAAAGGTAACTTGACTTGAGGTAGTTCATCAACCACAAGTTAATTACATTAACATTAACCACTGACCCAAAAATCAACTTATTCCCAATTGGAGACACTGATCTTGTCTCAAATTGGGCAAACTGTCTGGAATTACCTGGTCTGTAATCTGAAATTTTTCCCAAGATTAGCCTATGACACACACACACAGAAACACATACACTTACCAGAGTCCATGTATTGCCCAGTAGCTGATGTTGGAATGACAATGTTCCATCTGAAATTGACCAAATGAATACTCTTAGTCAATCTGAATACATAAACCTGACACTTAATCATATTACTTGTAATCAGTTTTATCTTATACTTGGGTGGCTGTCTCCCATTTCATCTCATCTCATGTTTCATTGGACTGAAATACAAAAATCTTTTGGAGAGTAAGTGTTAGGGTGATGATTATTTATAATATTGATTCCTTTTATTATTCTTGGATAAAGAAGTAATTATTTTGTCTAAAGAATATCATGAAATACAATGAAAATTGTCAATTAAGCAAGCCCATGACTTCTTAAGTCTGCCAAAAAACCCAAAGGGAAACAGAAATAGCAACACTGACATTTTGAAAGTTGTAACTGAACGTTTTGCGGTTTGTACCTAAAACATTGTCTTCACGACTGATAAAATGAACAATCACTTTGAAGTTCCAGTATGTCCTGTAAATTGCATTTATATTACCAACAACCAAAAAAAACATTTCACATGGAGTCATGTCACATGATCCTCAAGTGCTGCGGTTTTGTGGTTTTACAGTTTAAGGATCTACATATAAACCTTTTAAGTTGAGTCATCAGACAGAGAATAGACTAAATGACTTCCTCCCTAAAATGCCATGATAGTAACTTTGACTGAAAATGTTGCAAATAAAATAATGAGCAAAAAGAGACCCGAACCAAACAGGCAGCAAACCTGTTTTACTGACACAAACATGCATGTAATACAAAGCCACAAGGCACCCACAGATTTGAACTGCAGACTGTTAATTAAGATGAACAACAAAACAACTCTTAAAAAAAGTGTTTTCAAAAGCTCAAAATAAGAGATGTAGATCCTTTGCCATGACAGTTAAAACTGCATACTCTGCAATGTTGTCTGAACAAACAAGACTGCTGACACACAAATAGTCTCATGACTCAGACATCACATGATATTTAAGAATTAAAAGTTGAAGAGTGATACGATATATGGAAAAATAGAGATTGATGTAAATTGCTCTCAATTTATCACAACATATAATACACCAATTCCTGATCTAAACCTATTCAAAATGGTTTAGAAAC